GAGCAGGGCTGGTGTTACAATGCTGTTTTCATCATTCCCCCCCTCCCCGCAGATGGTGATTTGATAACCCAGGTTCATGATTAATAAACTTCATAATGAAGTTTAATTTACAGAAAAATATAATCAAGCGATGGTAGGCAAGATTCATTCAGGCACTACAATATAATTAGATCTGTAATGAAGCCTGTGACCTTTATTAACTAAACAATTGAGCAAATGAATTAATCATTATCCATAATAAGGATGCAGAAGCCAGCTTAGTTTTCCTCTCTGTCAGCTGTTGCAGAAGAAGAGCAGTAGAGCTGACTTCACAAGGTGCAGTTGCATCATCTAGATTTCACACGTTTAAATGTAGACAATAAACCTAATTATCACTCAACTCTTTATTTTTTGTGGCTTTGAATCAGCTTTGTCTCTTGGTGACTATAATGTTTCATCTGAGAAACTGAGACCCAGTTTGGTATAGTGGTTAAAGTGTTTCCTTAGAAACTAGAAGACTGAGTCCTAGTCCTGCCTTAGACGTGAAGTCAGATGTTGTTGTGGAAAAAAAAATAGGACAAAAGAGTGTTAGATATTTTGCTGCCTTACCTTGCCTTGAAATACACACACATGCATAATCTATGGGATATATCAAACGTTACAGCAATTAGATAAAATATTGATAAACAAGGGAGAAATTTTTTTAACAAAAACCCCTATTAGAAATTGAATTCGAAGAAGAAATAGTAAAGGGCCTGATGATAGCATGGGCCCGAAATATAGGCAGAAGTATAGGACTAGATGAATGGGAAAGAACTTGGAATGTAAATTGCAAATTAACGTTATCAACTGCGTATAAAGAAAACCAAATTAAAATGTTTTACAGATGGCATCTAGCACCGGCGAGATTGGCTAAAATTTATAAAAAACACAGATTGTTATTATTAGATTATGCATGTGTGTGTAAAAACTACATGTGCACACAGCTATTTCCCCTAGATTTTAAGTTAAAGAATTATATTCCCAAATATATTCTTCAAATTTTACAATTTAGATTGGTAAGAATAAAAGTAGATTTGGACAAATGAGTAAATGAAAATTTACGTGGCTAATATGAACTCATTTGCCAGTTGTCCTAGAAGCATTTTGTTAGGAACAGATAAAAAATCCCTGTTCATGTTGCAAATACTTCAAGCCATCTGGAGTATGGGAGGCAAGGTCATTGCTGCATCACAGATTACAAATCTTTCTATGAATTCTTTGTTTCCATCAAGTGAAAATGAAACATTAAAGCCACTAATTTGATCATTCTTTTTCAGTATCAGGAGACTAGAGGAGTAATCAGAGAAAAGGGAAAAAAATCCATTTGGATTTTAATGATAGCAGTGTTCTTGTCCCTTCTCCACTTTGAATGCTAAGAATTTTGCATTCCTTGACACAATCATCAGTCAAGAAAAAAATGATGAAATGTGCAGAGGAATGAAACAAGAAGGGACTATGAAAGAGCTAACCTGAATGATGGAACCCATTTAAATGACCGGAGAGGCAGAAGCCCAATTCCTAACAAGAAACGAGAAGCCAAATGCAGGCTATTCATTACTCTGAGTGTTACTTGGAAACAGACTAACAAACAGAGTTTACGGTAAGCTATGAAAAATTATGGGTTTTCTCATAGTTCCAAGAATTGTTTTTTTTAAAAAAAAAATCATCTCCAAAGATTATGGCAGCACATAAGATCTGGAATATATTAGCCATAGTCACCTGAAGAAGATATGGGTTATTTCCTGGCAGAGAACCTTGAAACATTTTTAATTTGGCTCAAGTTGGTCCATCTCATATTTGTAAAACCCGCTAAAAATGGAAAAGGATTAAATTTTGATATCTTGGAAACAACTTTCTGAATTTGAAGCTCAATGAACTTGGTTTCAAAAACTTGTCAACATAAAGGCCAAATGACACTGTTTAATAAGTTTGCATTAAAATTTGTCATATGGCTGTTGATTTGTGTAAGGTACTGACAATTGATTTGTTGGCTTACTGCAGGGGTGTGAAACTGCTGGCCCGCAGGCCGGATGCGTCATCCGGAAACCGCGCCCACCCCATTGCTGGCAATGGCAAAACCATCCCAATACGTTGCGCAACGTCACATGATGTTGCAAGTTTGACATGTCTGGCTTACAGGAAACAGAATCTTTTAAATTTTTTAATACAAAGTTGAACTGCAGTTAAATATCAAAATATTTTGATATAGCTACAAATTCATGTTTCCTTAATCAGCTATTAACTGGTTTTTTATAACAATTAACAAGTTATTTAGGTTATAGATTGGAAGTGATATTATATTTTGTGACTTGTCAATAGCTGCAGAGAAATTAGTGTAGGTAAGATACGTAGGTAATTTTATTCTTCTATTTTGGATGTTAAAAAAAAACCTTAACAAATGGAAAGCTGATCAGTTGCCAGTTTATATGATCCCAGAGTGTAATTTATTTTATTATTAATTACATTTTTATGTCAGCCCTTTCCCTTATAAGGTGACTCTGAGTAACTTACAGATTATGAAAAGACAAATAGAAAAATAATTAAAATATTAAAATCATGCAAATTAAAAATTTTAAACCGTTAAAAACAAAACACCAGGAGTAAGAGACAGACAGCATGGGGAGGAGGTCTTCTTATCCCATCAACCACTTCCAGCAGTGAGTGTCCCCCTCGGGGCCCTTAGCTAGCCAGCAAAATCAAGTTTTAATACCCTTCTGGAAGGTCTAAAGGATGGGAGCAGTTTGGGAAGGGGAACTGCTTAATCACAGTCTGAAAATGCATAATGAAGGTAAAAAAAGGTTGAGACAGTTGATCCCTCTATGCACTATATTTTATGATCTATGCACTATATTTTATGGTCTATGTGTACATGCACATATACACCATGGATTCTCCAAATGTGCTTTACAGATGGGCTATGCTATAACAACCAAGACGGGTTTTAACAACTAAGGTTTCCAGCCACTGTGGAGATTCTGGGAACTGCACTTCCAACATAGTTGGAAGGCAGAAATGACACATAAACAGAAACATTATTCAGTATGGATTGAATATGGATTTGTCTGAAATGGTATAGGGTTTCCTACCTGAGCAGGGGGTTGGACTATGAGACCTCCAATGTTTCTTCCAATTCTGCTGTTCTGTTATTCTGAATAGAATATATTACATTTTAGATCTAGCTCTTTTTGAAATGATAATAATGCACTGTTAGTAACTTAAATGAAATAAAATATTTAAAGCAACTTAATAAACAGACTTCATTTGGGCTTCTGCATAGAGAATGGAGAACAAGCTGTACTTTTATTATAATTTGAGCAGAATGTAGCTGGTTGTAATCTTTCCAGTTGTTCACTAGGTTTTATTGCTTACACTAGGGCAATAATGGATTAGCACATAAAAGAGGACATGTGACGTGTCCTTCTCTAGTTTAAAGGTACAAGGTCATGGAGATGACCATATTAGTCTGTGAGTTGTGTTAGGAGGTGTACTTTTTTTTTACTCAGCTCATTTTAAAATGAAATGAAAATTACAGAAGGATGACTTTAACCAATATTTTAATGTCTCAATGTCTATGTGGGTCTGCAGTGACTGTGTCCAATGCTAAGGTATGCTCTTGGGAAAGGTTTTCTTTCTGATTTGCTTGCCCTTGTCTGGTGTATAATTTCAAGTGTTTAACTAGTGTAAACTAGTATAACTACTTTTAACTTCAGTGTTATGCTGTTTTCAATCAGATAACACGTTTAGAAGAAGAAAGTTCTGTAATATGAATTGCTGCCAACTGTTGGGAGAGTGGGAGTAGACCATTGAAGAGTTACATTTAAGTTGTTAATACTGTACTACATAACAAGGATGTACAATAAAGGAAGGGGTTAATCATTTGAACACAGAGAAGTTGATGTCTGACTGCAGTCTTATGCAGATATATTCAAGAGTAACTCTGAATATAGGGGGATGCATGTTCAATTAAACATTCATCAGGTGGCTTACCCAGGTCTATTGCTGACTTGTTTGCCTGAGGTAAGGCTCATGCAGGGAGTTGTTTCTTAATAAGCAGGTGAAAGTTAGGACAGTTCAGAGTGCAGGCTGTATAAGTATTTGGAAGTAAGACTGCTCAGTACAGTCTTTTCCTCAGTTATGGTGCTTAAAATTACAGCCTTTGCAATATTTTGCTTATCTTTATCCATAACAATTTCATATCTTTAGGACTTGAAAATATATATTCTAACTGGATGTTATTTTTAATAATATGTTGCATTATGTCTTGAAATCCTAGCAGAGGGTGAAATTAGCAAGTGAGTGGGAAGTATAGATGATTGCCAAAATTTGGTATTTTCTGATTGGAATGTTTATCATTTGCTGTAGTCTGAGTCCTTCCAAATGACTGGAAAGGCCATTCCCAGGCATGCTAGCTAGTGAATTATGGGAGTTGTGGCCCCATAATACTTGGAAGGTATCAGATTGGAAAAGATATTTTGGACCACTGGTAGGGTCCCTACTTGCGTAGTCCAAATGTTGCTCAAACATCTTTTCTTTCAGTTAGTTATAAGCAAAACTCAGATCAATGGATCAGTTGACAGCATAGTAGTTGCTTTTTTTCTTCTCATATCTTCACTGTGATGACAACTTGCTGCCTATTTCAAGTAAGGAGCAACTATAATTATGTAAGTCGTCACTTTGCCCCATTGTTAGCGACATTTGGCCTTTGGAAAGTATCACCAAATTATTGAGGAGACTGTTCTATAGCTTTGCTTCAAGCCAACTTTCTCTAGCCAGATGCTTCTAGCTATGTTAGTTACTGTGATCTCCCAGATGGCATGGGCCTATGCCAGCTGGAGAATTGTCAGAATAGAAATTCAACGTATCTGGAGGTTATTGGATTAAGGAAGAGTACTGTAGATTTTGTTCAAAGGAAGGCATGTTCTTTTAACTATAGATATTAGAATCTTTTTGAGTTAATTGTTTCTATTCATTCCCATCAGATAAGGTTTCAAAATCATCTGCCAATATAAAGATAGTTTCTAGTTTCACAGATTGCACTGAGACACAATGTGTATGTATGGCAGGGGTGGATAGGGATGATCTGTTCATTTTCCATTAAGCATATTATGTAAATCAAGAGTTAAGCTTCATAAGCCATGATTTACGAATTAGCCCTTTCTGGCTTGCTCAGCCAACATGGATAAAAAAAAGAGTTATCATGATGAATAAACCTAATATCTTCTGCAAATTAATTGGAAAAATAGCTAAGAAAATGAATTTAACAATATGCATGTGTCCTCTTAATTAAATCTCTGTGTTTCATGGAACTCACAACTTAGCAAGAAAGTTGCAGAGTGAAGCATAAGGTTCACTTTTGATAACAGTAGTACAAAAGGAAAATGAGATAGCAAGTCATTAATGTATCTTGGCTATTTTCCAAAGTAATTTCAAATCACCATAGCCATATATTTCATGTCATACAATGACCCATAACTTCCCCAATATTCAATATTAATGTCCCTCAGTTAAGAGCAAACGGTTGGAGATACTGTATAACCATTGCATTTTGCAACAAAACATGTTATAATGTCATTGCACAAATAACTAATTATGTAGTTTCCCTAAGTACATTTTAACATATGATGGAAATCCATAAGCCATGTCTTAATACATGTGTCATCATTTCTCTTTCATGAGTCTCTTGAGGACACCTTTGACTGCATCAGTTATAATTCCACAGTCAACTTGATCTTTGTAAGAATTATAATTATAACACACAGGAAATCACAGATCTGAAAACATTATTTTATGCTTTGGTCACATGATGCTAGAAACTACTGGATAAATATCTCCTTTTTTAAAAAAAAATGCTTATATTTTGGTAAAATTTCCTAACAAAAGAAAAATGTCTATGAATTGGCCATTGGCTTTTTTCTATTAATGTTTTACCACAGTCTATCACATTTGCTATCAAATATGATTGATTGTATATGTATAATCTCATCAAATGGCTTATTCTACTTTTGTTGCCAGGGGTGGGGGTTATTGTTTTTTTATTGTTTTTTTTTTATATTGGGTTTTTATCCTTGTGAGCCACATGGAGTCCCTGAGAAGAAATTGGGTGGCCATATAAATTTTGTTAAATTAAATAAACGGAAATGGAAATTGCATGATATATAGACCCTATTTAGAACAGCTTAAATCCTTATATGATTTTAAAGTATTTTTGGTTTATCTGACTTGTTCACCTTTGAAAAAAAGGTTGTTACTGATGATCACTGGAAGAAGTTTCCATTCCAAGATGAAGAAAAAACAGATGCTCAAAAAGTCCCAACCAGAAGATGGGGTTCTGGAAAAAGATCTCGGCCTCGGCCCCTCTCAGATTTACCGGTTAACCGTTAATCTTCAAAAAGGTAAGGTCTTCTAAGACAACGATACCTAAGGGTCCTTTACCTGAGAAACCTCTTACTGTCACTCTGGTTCGGAGGGGGACAATTTAGTCCTTGAACACGTCATCGGTTGGGTTTTCGGGTGTCTTCTGCTGGGTAGAGACAGTAACCACGTCAGTCAATGATACTCTTATTCCAAACAGAAGAAATAACTGCTCTCCTTGCACAAGTAAGAAATAAAATTCACTCACTGAAAAAAACTCAATCAAAAGATCATCCTTCTCTTCTTCCCTGTAACCTTCAACATAGTGGACACTCCTATTCCTTCTTTCTGCTTCTTCCAAATCACCACCACATAATTATTCTTCTAAAAGCATGATATCAGATTAATGAATACTTTTATATAAATAATCCTTGCTCTATAATTGTACACAATAGTATACTAACTTCCCCCCCCCCCCGAATGTTGATGCTTCTATTTGAGGTTTTAAGATATTTCTCTTTTACTATGCACTTCTTCATTCTGTAATAAAACATACTGATAATGTTGCATTATAAGAAAAGTAACATGATATTTCAGAGTATTAAGACATTTATGAATAGCAATTGGAGCATTTATATAAGCAACTTAATGCAGATTTACAAGAGACCCTCCATGATTCATGATGATTCATGAATCAGGCCTAGATAGTTAGAATATGATCTATTTTCATAATTACAAAAGTTTAAAAGCATAATAAATGTTTGTTATTATTTCATTGGTATTTTAACATAATTATTGAAAATCAAAGACCTTGTTATCATGTACATAATATGATCATCTAGAGGAGTGGTTATATATTCCTCTATGTATTAAGCAAGAATTGCTTTGTGATGCTACCTATGTCTATTCTTTTATTTTTCATTATCCAACTTTTATGTCAGAAGAAAAACCAAAACAGGCAACCATCGTTATAAAATCATTTTAAGAAAGTCACAATAATCTGATATATCATGACCCTAATTTGTGGGACTATTTGTTGCAGTCATTCATCTAAAGTTTGACCTTTTGATTATGAAAGTATAAGTAATAACATAGAAATATGAAGGGTCTATTGATTTTTTAAAAAACAAAATGAAGATACAAATCAAATTATAATATTGGAACCTATACATTATTGTGTTACAATTCCAAGAAGGAATGTTATAAACAACAGTTTGTCTGCAAATGTTCTCAAGAGCTTGCAACCTCACATTGCATAACTATAAGATACCCATCTGCAATTCGTTTATAGGGTGTTGTGCTATATCAATGACACACATGGACTTAATTCTTATTTTTAACTTGCAGTTTTTTAAAAAGTATGTTTATATTTTTAGACATACAGCCCACCCTTAAATGTTGCTTGTGTGATGGCACGTTGTAACCAAAAAACGAATTTTGCAGACATAACCAAAAAAAGGGGAAATAATTTTTCTTAACAAGATACATTTATTTCATTCACTCAGAATTCAAATTGTGAATGTATGCATACAATTATTTGTGATACAAAGTCTGTAAATGTGTAGACTTTGAGTTGTGTGAGTGATGTATGTGGATTCGAATAGTGGAGTTCATGTAAATAAAACTATATTTTACAATAAGTCTCACTGAACTCAGTAGATTTTGAATAGGTCTAGTTGCATTATCCATAGGTTTCTGGTATAGATACCTTGTTTAGAAATGTTCTCTGTTCTTGCCTTTGAATATTTGCAAAGATAGTTGTTTTTATTTCACAGATAAATATAGAAGTTTTGCAAAAAAACCAAAAACCCTCCCACTCTTGAATTATTTACTTTAATATTAATTTCCTTTAAGGGCAGCATTTTGTACTAACAATGTAACAGTCACTACAGTATTTGTTCATTTATTGGGGGAAAAACTAGGCTATTATTTTTAAACTTCCCATTGTGGAAACATCACAAATATTGTTTCATTATATTGTTACTTTTCTTACAATTTCAACAAGATGGGCAGTTTTTACCTATGATTCACCCCCCTGCTTCCCACATACTCTATTCTCCCAGGCTCTCTTCTACAGCAAAAGTTTGCTGTTCTGTTGTATATTTACTGGATGTAGGCTTGAAGTAAATACTTTATTACTACCAGTGTTAATAAAAAGCTGAAATGCTTGCAAACAAATGTCTAGAAAACATTGTAAACTCCTTGTGCTTGTATAGGACCCACAAGGAAAATGGGACGTAGAGGGTTTTATTAGTGAACTATCTAGTTCAGTGTTTCTCAACCTTAACAATTTTAAGGCATGTGAACTTCAACTCCCAGAATTCCACAGCCAGCAATGCTGGCTGTGGAATTCTGGGGGTTGAAGTCCACATGCCTTAAAATTGTCAAGATTGAGAAACACTGATCTAGTTCAGGGGTAGGCAACCTCAGCTCTTTTATGATTGATGGACTTCAACTCCCAGAATTCCTGAGCCAACCATGCTGACTCAGGAATTCTGGGAGTTTATTATTTATTTATTTATTTAATTTAATTTATATGCCGCCCTTCTCCCGACGGGACTCAGGGCGGCGCACAACATACTTAAAAACCAAAACATATATACAATCCCCCCCTTAAAACTGAATTAAACCAAATTTAGAGTTGCGTCTTTCAAATTCCTAAAAAACCCAGTATAAAATCCACCCTAGGTCAGGTCCGCTTGCTGAAAGAGCCATGTCTTGAGGGCGCGACGGAAGGTAAGGAGATCCGGAATTATCCGAATCTCGGGGGGTAGTTCGTTCCAGAGGGTGGGGGCACCC